TTTTTTTTTGAGTTGGAGTCTCACTCTGTCGCCCAGACTAGAGTGCAGTGGCCGTTCCCGCCCACCACAGACTCGGCCTGCTGGGCTCCGGCGATCCTTCCACCTCAGCCTTCCAAGTAGCTGGAACTACAGGCGCACGCTACCACGCCCGGCTAATTTTTTATTTATTATAGAGATGAGGTCTCACCAACTTGCCCAAGCGGGTCTCGAACCCGCAGGCTCAGGCAATCCACTCACCTCAGCCTCCCAAAGGCGCGGGATTACAGGCTGAGCCACCGAGCCCGGCTGGGATCTACTCTTATATAGTGAAACTCTAAGGAAAAATGGGAATGATAAACACAATGTGCAGGTTAGTGGTTCCTCTTCAGGAGGAAGGTGGGTATTCTAGAAAATGATACATCAGTGTGGTAATGGTGGTGGTATTCTATGTACATGTAATGCATATGCACACGTAAGTGTGAGGGATTGAAATATTTTGTGAGAAGTAGTTTAGGGGCATGGGTGGGTGACATTCATGGCGTCACGGCTCCCTGGGGAATGGAATGCCATTTTCCTGGGGGGTGTGCTGTCATTGGGTTAGTTGCTCAGGCGAAGAGCCAGAAAGCCCTGAGATGGCTCAATCTCTTGCTCTTCACCATGCTTCATCCAGACTCAGTTTGCTCATCTGGAAAATGGAAGCCCAGATGTAGCGCCTAATCATAGAACAATAAGTAAAGTATTAGGCCGGTGCTTGGGGCTGTCGTCATGGTCACCTTCACCTCCTTTGTTAACGGAGGCCATAGGAAGAGTAAACATATTATTATTCTCTTGGCTAGTTTTGTGATGTTGGACAAGTAGCTTTGCTGCTCTCTACCTCAGTTTACCCATCTGTAAAGTAAGGGTAATAATGATGCTGAGGGTTCAGTGCAATGACATTGACCTTAACATATTGAGCCCTCACTCTGTGCCAGGCACTTCCCAGAACTCTATGAGTGGGAGTATCACCTGAGGTGTGCTGATAAGGTGGCAGGCCTCAGACAACACACCTGGCCACTGGAGGTCAGCAAATGTGAGCATTAGTATTATATTTGCTGTTGGTGATGTTATTGCTGTCATCACTAAAGAAGGGATTTAGGCAGAAAAAGAAATAGACCTATTTTTTGTTTGTTTGTTTGTTTTTGGTTTTTTGTTTTTTTGAGTTGGAGTCTCACTCGGTCGCCCAGACAGGAGTGCAGTGGCCGCTCCCAGCCACCGCAGCCTCGCCTGCTGGGCTCCAGCGATCCTTCCATTCAGCCTTCCAAGTAGCTGGAACTACAGGCATGAACCACCACGCCGGGCTAATTTTTGATTTATTGTAGAGATGAGGTCTCACTAAGTTGCCCAGGCGGGTCTCGAACCCGCGGG